GCCCGGCGGGGCTCCGTGCTGGCCCTGTGGAACGCATTGAGCCACCGCCCGAGCCTTCAGCGTAGGGACGATGCCCTAAAAACGGGCTTGGATTCCCGCCTTGGCTAAATAATCGTAGTCACTGGGACCGATGTAGCGTGTTATTGCACTGTTTGATTTTTCCATGTGTATGCTAGGATGTAATATCCTGGAAAAAGGATTGTGAAGGCCCCTCAGTAAAAGCTGGGGGAGAGAAAAGAATGCAGTTTTCCCAATTCACATTTGTATCCAGCTGATGTGCTGTTTCCCTTCGCTCCCCAGGCTGCGAGAGAACATTTATCACAGTGAGTGCGTTATTCTCCCATAATCGAGCCCACTTCAGAGAGCAAGAGCAGTTCTCCTGTTCATTCCCTGGCTGTAACAAGCAGTACGACAAAGCCTGCCGACTGAAAATCCACATGAGGAGTCATACAGGTATTCCTGAGGGTGGCTTGTGCGTGGGGAAGCACACAGAAGATAGTGTGGAGGGTTCAGTTCACTGTAAAAACTGGAGGTCATGAAGGCAGAAGAGGTGACATGAGTTATTTGGAGTTGTTTGATTCTTGGCCTACTCTGGGGTAGGAGTCTGCTAAATGCACTTGCTAAATGTGAAGTTGCTATGGACAGAAAAAGCTTTGGCTTTTGGCATGGGAATTCTGTTCAGAACTATCCCAGCTCTATTCCCAAGTTCACAGACATTCAAAGCATGGTGTAATGTGGTATAAATTCTAATCTTGGTCAAAACAAATGCCTGAAAAAACTCAGAATGTTTGAAGCTTATCTGCTAGAGTTTGGAAAAGCAAGAAGCTAAGTTTCAACTCAAGCAAATGCTCCTGACTTGCAAGGACCACTGCTAAGCTGAAATCTAGCCTTTTAGTGTTTCAAAAACAAACCAGAATGGATTATTAACGCAGCTTTTCTTTTCTTAAGGTGAAAGGCCTTTTATCTGCGACTTCGAAGGTTGTGGCTGGTCTTTCACCAGTATGTCCAAGCTGCTGAGACATAAAAGGTAGCCTTTTCTGATTATGTCCTAAGTCACTTGATGTTTGTGTGTTTGTTTTTCTGGCAGTACTTAAGCAGCGTGGATTTAATCGTGCCAATGGCAATTTCCTTCCCTTGTAGGAAACACGAAGATGATAGGAGATTTATGTGCCCGGTAGAAGGCTGTGGGAAGTCCTTCACAAGAGCAGAACACTTGAAAGGCCACAGTATAACTCACCTTGGGACAAAACCATTTGAGTGTCCAGTAGAAGGTATTGTTCAGCTGCTGTCTATGTTAACTGGTAATCGATGTGTATATTGCCTAAAGATTGCCTTTTCCCCAAACACAAGTTTATTACAGGCTTGGAACAATTTAGAGTGGGTCTTCTAACAGAGCTTGAAGAGGTAAAACTAAACAGAAGACATTGTAACTCCATTGAGTGGTCATTCTCAAATTTATGGATTGTGGAGAAAACAACGGTTTGTGCTGCAGCTTGATGTTTTAATTTCTTTGTGATGAACAGGGCTACTTCATTCCGGAAAACCCTACTTCTGGCATTCAGTTTCTGTAGCTCAGCTTTTTCAAGTTGATTCATCAGAAGTCATGCATAGCGGTTCTGTCCAGCGCCTTCAAGGCCATGTTTTGCTGTTGTGATGTGTCATCTCGAGTGTTTGGTGTTTGTGCTGTGGTAGTCTCTGCTGTGGGATGGTGGGTGGGTGGCTGTGTGAGTGGTCTCTGTTCTGGTTGTACAGGAGCCTCACAGATGCTCTGTGGGTTTCTGAGCTCTGCCTCCATCACTTCAGTGGGACTTTGGGAACACAGATTTAAGGACTGATCTGGAGTATTCGGCTTCGTAAAGTAAAGCAGCTCTACTTGGTGATTCTGATGACTCCTTTTAATGGTTTTGCCAGCAGTCATCATGAGGAGTTTGCATTTAAGATACCATAGCAGGGGAAGGCTGTGCATTAGGCTGAACGATTTAAGAGTTACTTGGTGTCAGGAACAGGTTATTGAATTATCCTACCCACTGAGACTTCCTTGATGTAAACTATATTGCGCTTTCTTCCAATTCCTTTGAATGTATGCACAGGCGCTGCAGAATAGCAAATAGAGTTTTACAGAGCTGCTCTGATTTGTTTTGTTGAGATATTAAATACAACATCAAATTGAAATTAGATGAAACTTTAAAGCCTTGTATATCTTCTTGCAGGCTGTTGTGCAAAATTTTCAGCGCGAAGTAGTCTGTATATTCATTCCAAAAAACATCTTCAGGATGTGGACTCATTAAAGACTCGTTGCCCTATATCGAGCTGTAATAAATTGTTCACTTCCAAACACAGTATGAAGACACACATGGTCAAACAGCATAACTTCAGCCCAGGTAGAGTATTTGTTTCAAACTATAGGGTACAATGAGAAATTTGAATGTTTTACTAAGGAAAAGGTGTACTTGCTGATGTTGAATGCGAATCCATACGAATGGCAGAATCTTCATTGACACTGGAGTTGGGTTTTGGCCCTTAATATTTTCAGGGGGACCTATAACTCAGCGTCAGAAAGTGAGACGAGCTGACCTGTGTGAAACTGAAAAATTTCAGCTGTTTTGAATTAAGTAGACCTTGTCCTCTAATGCAATCTGTAAAATATGAGCAAGGACTGGAAGCACTTTTTTCCCCCCACGCCTCTACAAGCTAACTGGCCCTAGTATTATATTCTGGCAAGTGCCTTTGTGACTGAGATTTCTCAGTAAGGAGCAAACTTACTCAAAGTTAAATCTGCTTTCAGGGAAATTGGGAAGTGTTTTAGTAGGATGAGAATCTAGAGTTTTAAACTTCCTCCTGTGATCATTGTGTTTTTCCTCCCCGTTGTCTGATGGAAGGTCTGTCTTTTAACCAACGCCTTCTCTTCCAGATCTCCTAACTCAGCTCGAAGCAACCAGCTCCCTCACACCCAGCAGTGAGCTCACTAGTCCAGGACAGAGCGATCTCAGCAGCATAGACCTCGTTTCCCTGTTCTCCAATGTGTCTAGTAACAATTCTGGAATTGCAACAGACATGGCGCTCGTGAACTCTGGAATTGTCACGATTGATGTTGCTTCAGTGAGCTCAACGCTCGGAGGCAACCTGCCTGTCAGTAACAGCTCTTTAAGCCAGGCAGTCGATCCCTTGATACTGGTAGCAAGCAGCGATATGCCGCAGAGCCTGGACAGTTCACTCTTGCTGGGAACCAGTGCAACAGTTCTACAGCAAAGCACTTTAAATTTGGATGATGTACAGACTGTCAATGCAGAAGCCTTGGGTTCGCTGGCGTCTCTTTCGGTGAGGAATTCCAGTCAAGACGTGCACGGTTTGACGTCCAGCAATAACTTAACAATTGACACAGCCACTTTGACTCCTTCTAGTAGCCTTGGTGGTACCAACGTGCCTGAGTTACTAACACCAACGAAAGTCGAACGGAATGTGCTTCCTAGCTCGGACGTTGTTGGTCAACAAGAGGGCAGCAAAGTAGTGACACAGTTTGTCTTCTCCAACCCTCCAGGGAGCTACAGCGCACAGAAAGAAATGGATCTTGGCACAGTGACCAGCAGCTCGGTTTTGGTATGCAGTAACTGTATTCCTTTTACCCCTAGATGACTGAGGCACCCTGGCATTGAGGCTATTCATTGCTACTTATACCTTACAGGGAGACCTTCCGCTCAAGATTTTGCAGATAATGCATTTTGGCTTTCTTTGATGGGGGATGTAGAACATAACTTTGAAGAGCATGTTGTCAGAAGTAGATTCAGTGTGGTGCCAAGTTCTTTTAAGAAATACTGACATTCTGGTGGAGAGAGTTCAAAATGAGGGATTAAAAAAAACAAGCTGCCCTCTGCCTGAGTATGAAATGGAATTTACAAGAATAGTTGTGCGTTTTGTTCCAGAGAAAGTTTGGGCTGGGAGAATAACTGAAATATTTTCATCTCAGTCCTCATTCCCTTTTTAAGTACTCTTCCCTTTCTGGTTTACTTTGTTACTGCAGGCTTAACTTTTTATTTACATTCCAAAGTAAATGTTTGTTAAAATCCAAACACTTAAAAATGTGGAGCTAACTTCTTTTTTTTGTTGAACTCTAGATATTAGGTACATAAAGGGAATTTATTGAAACTAATCAGAAGAGCATGGGAAACTAGAATTGAGTGTTTACAGTGTGAAAGTTAACTGCAACTGAGAACTTAGTAGTTTTTGTTCATTGTCTTGGTTTGTTCCTGCATTCAAAAAACTTTGTGTATCTTGACCTTTGTTTTTGTTTGTTTTTTTTTTTAATAGGAGAGCAGTGGGTCTGCAAGAACAGACTACAGAGCCATTCAGTTAGCCAAGAAAAGGAAACAAAAAGGGAATGGGAGCAGCACAGGTGAGAAGCTGTTAAATTTACTAAATACAGTTGTTTAGGTGTTTTGTCAGTGAAATGGGAGCAGGTATCTGACTATTTGAAATGTCCTATCTGGTTTGTTGCTAGTTAAAATAATTATGCATGTGGTATACCATCTGTTCCTTGGGATAATTGCATTCTGTGGAGTATAAAATTCACAGTAAGTTTACAAAGATATCTGCACCATATGTTTCTCGATTGTTAACAAGACACTATCCATCTCTTCATCTGCTTTTTATTTTCTTATTAAAACAAACAGAAAAATAATTAAGGTCACTTTTCTTTCTGTTGTTTATGCTTTTGGTCTTACCTAGTGGGTTCTCTTTTACTTGGTTCAGACAATGAAAACATGTTCTGGATTTGTTTTACTTCTGTGTTTCACTTGGTAACAGTGTGTCTGCAGTGTTAAGGAATTTATTTCTTAGTTATCTAAAAATACTCAAAACCTTTCCCTTAAATTTTAGCTTTTTAGACAGGTCTTGTGCAGGATGAGGTTTAGAACATGATTTCAGATGTATCCCTTTTCTCTTAAACTGTAGTTTGACTCCAGGCTTTCTGATGCGAAGTGCACACCGTTACTTGGTCGGTGGTCCGTGGCTCACGAGACCTGCACGAGCGCAGGCCTTTTGAGTTGTGTCTGCACTCGGGGCTGGAGTGGAATATCATATTCGTATACATTTATTTTTATATATATATATATATAAGTTTGTTCTCGCTGGCTCTCAGACCTTCCACCTCTGAAAATCAGGATGATAATTTTTAAACTGAGTTAAGAGACCAGTTCTGAAGGATAACTGCTTTACAGAGATGATTCTAAGTGTGCCTGTATTATCCAACAGGTGCGTGTGTCATCAAATGTGTCTTTTGGACATCGTTTTTAAAAGATGATTGCACTTAATCTGCATGTCTTCTAAAACTGACATCAGAAAATTCCTGTTTCTATTCCTACTCAAGACTCTCTTTACCTTAATGCTACTGTGTGCTTCTGAAAGTCGTGTAGAGTCTTGTATTTCTAACTGGCTTAACTAGGCTGAATGAATGAGCACTGTAGAGGGAAGTTTGGTGTTTAAAAACAGCCTTTTATTTACTGTAATTTTGAAAAACAAACTAAAACCCTGGAACAACTGAAAGGATTATGTCTTTGCATTCATTTTGATTGGGTTTTTGGTTTTCAGCTTGCAATAGATGCTGCTGGTTTGTCTTGTTTTAAACTGAAAAATACTTAAGGTTGTGATAGTTGTGCTTGTGTAGCCTGTTCTACCTCACAGTACTTGAATCTTTCTGCAAATAGGCGAGCTTCACTACACTCTTTTTACACTTTAGAAAAATGACGTACATGACTTCTCAGGAAATGAGTTGCAAAATTAAAACCAGAAAATGCAATCCCACCTCCCAGTTCCTTTCCATAGCTCCACAGATACATCAGTATTTCTGTGCTGCCACAGGGATGAGCCCTAAGCTTAGCAGACTGATGTGGTTTTAATGGCATCCATGCAAAAAGATGCTCAGTCAGCCGTTGGAGTTCGTCATTGGATTTCGGTCTGGCCTTTTAGCAGTTATCACATGGTGCTTGATTATATTGCACGGTTCCAGGCATTTGCTGTGTAGTGTAAATAACTGCATAAAAATGGAAAATAGTAGCAGGAAACTTTGGCAAATTGCTTCTGACTATCTAAGCACTAAAATTGCTTTATTTTAGGGGCCTCTGGCTCTGGTCAGAGGAAAAGCAAAGGTGGTAAAGTAAGCCCTACCAACTTCTCATCATCCACTCCTGGCAGTCGACTGGGTGGCAACATAGTTCTACCGAACGGAGAGCTGACAATAAGGGACCCTGCCACTGGAGCCCAGTATGTGCAAATTCAGCTTCTCCAGGTAAGGGCTGATGAGTTAAAACACGTCTCTCTTCTCTTTTACCCAAACTGGTGTGTTTTTGGAAGAACGTGACTATCTCTGAACTCAGGTGCTAATCTGAGATTTAGAAGTGCCTGAAAACAGAGCTGGTTCAATCATACAACTGCTGGGGGCCCAAATAGATGCGTTGTGGAAATGGATAAGATGTTTTTATTTGGTTTAGTACTAATACTCAGTTCAGCTTGGAAAATAGGAGCACTCTTACTATAGAGAATATCCTGTTCAGCTTCTTAGGCTGGATACACTTGATGCAGGAGATGCTGTGGTGGAACTAAGTTTTAGCAAACTTCCATTTTGCATGTGAGAGTTCTGATCCTTCAAGGGCTTAAGAACGTCCTTGTTTGGACAGGCAGTTATGAGAACAGCAAAACAGATGCTCTATTCCTGTCCCAAAGTATAGGGTAATTAGTCTTGCAGAAGGAAAGGATTACTAGCATGCGTTAACTTAGGGGGTGCACGGGACTTCTTCCTCTAGTTGCCTTCTTTGTTGACAACCCCCCGAATCTTGCCATTACTCCACCTCTCTCTCATTTACAAGGTAAATGAGACTGACATGAAAAGATTTCTGCAAAATGAAGTTTCAGGCCAAACTCTTATTTCTCTAAACTATTGAAATAAAGCTTAAGGGTTTTTTTTCCTAAAAATATCTAGTAATCTATGTGGGCTGGCTGTTAGTAGAGCACAGTGGGTAATATGTTTTTGACCAGGTATATATCTCTCTAGTATCCAGAGAAGAGGGTAAGTTCCTTCTACTTTATTCCTACTGGCATATGGTATGGAGGAAGGTATGGGCAGAGTTCTCCATCTGTCTCATTTTCTGATGGATGTGAATGTTTGTAACTTTTATGTTAAGTATCAGCTTCACACAACATGATGAAACTCGTTGCATACTTCTGAGTGTTGCGTTGGCTGGAAGATGAACCATTCCTTCCTTTTCAGGTCTTGCCAGTTTTCTGAGTTGATTAGGAAGGATAACAGGTTGTATGCTGAGCTAGGTTCAGATTTCAGTCTTAGTTAGCTTTTCACATCTCTGTGGATCTCGGCCTTACTAGCACAGTGCAGTAGCTTTATTTTGAGATTGGGAGGCTGAGTGAAGTTCTGCTGAGATGCTTGGGGGTCTTGTAATTGCATCATGTTTCTGCATTCACAGGATGATTCCCCGGGAGAGGGAGATTTGCCCTTTCAGCTGAGCTCTCAGTCCTCCTCGTCACATTCTCAGCTTACGGTGGATTTACCTGTTCACATACTGCAGGTACGGCATTTCAGCACCCTTGGGTTTTATTGCCTAGCTTGAAAGCGAAGACAGTTTACTGTGAACGTGCTGGGGTTGTGCCTAGTGAAAATACCTGAGTTTCCACTGGGAGTTTAATTTCACTTACAAAAAGTAGTGAGCAGAGAGCTGCGATGCAGGATTTATCTTGTGTATATATTACCAACCTTTGACACAGCATAGGTGGTTGTTTTTCTTCCTCTGTTATGGAGTAATGAATAACTAAACATTACCCATTTATTACTGAATCCTTGTATTCCTAATCCCATCCTGCAGTTAAGTGAGTCAAGAAAGAGGATCAGAAGTGGTAAGTAACAGGCTACAGGAAGGGTGGGAAGTGGAAAATAAAATCTTGAGCCTGGATTTCGGAACAGTGTCTATGTGTGTCATGGGTTAGGGCTGGGCCGGCCTCTAACACGGACAGACGCTCTGTAACCCCCTCTTCGTGGGAATGGCAGTTAGATTAAAAAGCCTGCTCGCTGCTACAGCCTTTGGTTTCACTGTTTGCCCTTGTTAAGTACTGAGTGTCAGTGTTGTTGAATGCAGAAGGCTTCATACAGCTTCTTGAGCAAACGTTTTGTTATCTGCTGTTCTGGTAAACTGTATGTTCATGAGTAGGAGCAGCTGAGAGCTGAGCAGCAATGAATGACTAATAGGTACATAAATCACATTTTCTGCTTCACCACGTGGGACTCAGGTTTTGCTAAACTCTGCGGTGCAGTTGTTTGTACCATGTGTGTTTCTCCTGGATAGAACATAAAGCTTTTGTAGTTGAGAGGGGCACCTCACCTGTGATAAACGTAGAAATACAAGGAGAGTACTAGGATCATTGCCTACGGTAAAGAGTTAATGAAGAAAAGCAAAGAGTCTGATTTAAAATTTATCTCTGTTAGCAATGCTCATCTGAACTGTTCCAAAGAAAAACTGTGGCAGCACTGTCTGAGTGGGTCCCCAAAGTAGGAAAGTTTTGGGTTTCCTCTGAACCGTTCAGAGCACTTCTCTGGTGTTGGATGAACATCAAGGTAATCTTACTGATCAGCGTTAAAAGCATCTGGAGGTGCAAGCACTGAACTCTTGATGCTCTCTGTTTGCTTTAACAGGAACCACACAATTCCACCGAAGATGATGCAGGCTCTGATAACTCTCAGTTCACTGGAAGCACAATAAACTTACAGGATCTGGAATGACTGTTAAGAACAGTTACTTGAAAACAAATCGGGCAACCATGTCTTGTCAGACCGAGATAACCGTGTGGGTCTTTTTCCAAGGAAAATACGAAAACTAGGAGTCCTGGATTATGGTTGCACTCTTTGCAATTTGCTAATGACAGTTGCAGCTGACAGATTTTCTTAAAAAAAAAAAAAAAAAGTAAATCCCACTTGATGTGCCTGTGTAAGATACCCTGTCTGCCTGGTGGTTGGAGAGACCAGGGCAGACTGCTGTACAGTGTTGTTTCACAGAGAAGTACTGTATTAAACTTCAAACTGAGGTAATATTTACTGTTTTCACAGGAAAGCAAGTATTCTACAGCTAACAAGTACAAATTTATAATGCTGCCTACAACAATTAAAACTTTTAAGTCCATTGGTTTCCTGCTGGAGCCAGTGACATCAAGGAATTAAGAGCTAAAATGCAAATTTTAGTGTTTTAGACAAAAAAGGATTGTTTTGGCCCCTGTGTTTTGGCAGAAAACTGGAATAAAATGTCACATGAAACAAAATTTATGTCCTATGCCATGAAAGTGAGATGCTCGAAAATCTTTGTTTTAGAAAGCTAGATTCTAAATGTTAACTTAGCTGTGAATCAGTTTGTAGCTCATGTTGAGTTTCTCCCTTTCCTTGCTCCTGCATCCCAAATACTTTGCTGAATTCTTCCAGCAAAACTTGAAAAAGAAAACTGCAATAGAACTGTACTCACTGTAAGTGATTAGCTAAGAGTCCAACAGTATCTGAGAGAGATTTATTTTGTCTTTTGTGTTCCCTTTTTTGGGAGGAATGTTGACCGCCACGTAAATTTAAGCACCTTGATTTTATCTCATCTATAAATTGCTGCCAAGTTACCTGTAAACTGGCCACTACCTTTTTATTTTGTGCTGGGTTTTTTTGTTTGGCTTTTTACGTGTTGGGTTTTTTTTATATAATGGAACACTGTTCACACTTTTTCTTTTTTGATATCCCAGAGTGTCACATGCACATGGAGCTTCCGTCTGGTTTACAGAATATACAATTGTCAGAGTATTTTATGAGAGGAAAAGAATTGTTATCTAGGAAGATTTGCCCCACTGAAAACCTGCAGTTTCTCTTGGGGGTGGAGGGAGAGGTTGTGTGTACTGTACTTACCTGGACTGCAGACACCTAAGTAAGTATAAGGTTGTATAGGGAAAAAAAACCAAAACCCTTTGGTTCCATTTTAAGGTAGTAATTTAAATGTTTCTTATGGTGATGTACTGAATGCCTATAAAGTTATGTATAGGAGTTTGATAAAAGGGTGTATGTACTGTTTTTTATTCTCAATGAGGTGTGTGTGTATGCACGTATGTGTATTTTTTTTTTTTACAAAATAAGATATGTCATGCAGGAGAACGTTGTGATCTTTCTAATCTTGCACATATTTATTTATTTTACAGTTATACTGATGTTGAATTCATATGAGGTCATTCAGAAATGCTTTTACTTCTTGTGCCTTTTGAACTATGTATGTGTCTAGACAAATGCTTTTTTTTGGTTGAAGACTTGGGAAGTCAAAACAAAAAAAGCATGAAGGTTACATTCAACTTCAGGTCCTGATTTGTGGGCAGTATTATATCCTCTGGTTGAATCGGTTTTATTTTTCTCTCTAGCTTAACTGAGCATTGAGGTCTCTCTGTTCCTGTGATCCTGCGTTTACAGCTTATATCCAGGGAATCTCATAACCTTCTCAGGTTGGATTTCCAAACCAAACTAATTGGTTGATGACATCTTCTGCTTGATGGCCGTGACTGCAGCACAAAGTCCACTCCTGAGAGGTAGAAAGGTTGAGGAGTAACCCTGCTGAAGGGACCACTAGGGTCTTGCTTCTGTGGTCACCATGGGCTCCCTGGAAGCTGAGACACCTCAAGCTACCAATGCCTGCATTATTCTGTTCTCAAGGACCATACCAGTTCTTAATCTATTAAAATGGCCAAGGAACACTCCATCTTTTTATAGGACTTGCAACCAAATCTTTCTACTTCTGAAAATGTACCTCACTCAGCTTTGTAAGTGAATGTAAAGTGCTAACCTCTTGGGGCCGACAGTTGGATCACTTAGCTTGAACTCCATTGCTGGCAATGGATATCTGAAGAACTGCTGGTGCAAAAGGGTTAATAAAGCTTTTTTTTATGGTGAGTTTGTCGCTGGGTATTGTTCTTTGTGTGGATGCATCTGACATAAAACTAATTGCTAGCAGCTTGACTTCTGCAGAGCTGGCATTTTTCCTTTGCTTCTGTCTTCTGAGCAGCAGTGGGATGGAGTCTGTAATGAAGCTCATCATTTGGAGTGAAGCATAACCGTTGTTTTTTATGGTCCTTCCACACATTTGTGATTGTAATAAATGTCTGGCAGGTGTCTGGCTTAGTTGTCCTGTAACAAAGATTGCTACCCAGGACCGTGATAGGTCTCCCGAGTCAGCTTTGTGGGCATAGCACTATTTGCAACAAAAAGTGAATGACAAAAGCATTGTTGCCAGCAGGAGCCTTAGAAGCAAAATGAGAGAATTTATTTTCTTGGACAAAAGATCAACAGAGTGGGGAAAAAGGGGTTGTCTGACACAGCAGCTTCCCCTGGGATCTTAGGGTAGGAGAAGGGAATTTCATAGGACTGTGAAGTTGATCAACTGAGCAAAGACTTGCTGGAATGTAGATCTGTGAAAAACTTTTTCTAGAGCAGCATCAGCACAATGTGCTGTGGTTAGGCCTGTGCTGTCAAGTGAAATAATATAATTCTTCTTCCTTCTCCTCATCCATTTGTTCTTGGCTGTGCTTTTTCTTCTCCTTCCTGGCAGGTGGACAGGAATGAAACATCAGCCTCCTTCCGCTCTGCAGAGGGAGAAGAGGCACGTGCATCGGTGCTGTGCTGGAGTAGCATGTCTGAACCTCACAGCTAAAGCTGCTTTCTGCTGCCAGGCTCTCCTGCTGCCAGGAGCCATTGCCCCTTGATGTCCGTTTTCTAGGCAGGGTGTCTGTTAAATGTGTTTTTTTAATTAGAAAATGAGTGTCAAGCCCCTGAAGGTTGTGTATGTGCTCATGCTTCAGCTTCTACAACAGACTATTGCACCGGCAACTGGTTTCTACCTAAAACCTTACTGGTACTATCTCAAGAGGAAGGGAATTTGGAAGTCCAAAGAAATATCTGAGGGAACCTGGAGAACCTCTCAGTTTATCTTGGGTAAGGGGGCAGGGACTTGGGGTCCCTGTTCTCAATTGTGCTGTCTCCAGCTTGGTGTGTGGCTGAGAACTGGGAGGTCCTCACTGCCACGTTCGCCTGTGGAGCACGCAGCGGGAGCTCCACACTCTGCCTCCTGAGGGGCCAAAGCTCAGGTGGGCGTGATGCAGAACATGCCAAAAAAGCTATGGTTTCATGGTATGGCTGAGGTGATCTAGGGCCTTGCTGCTGTCTCATTCCTCATTTGCTGATTTTCATGCTTTTTTCATTGAAATGAGCTTACTAGAGAAAATTGGCAAGTAATGGAGGGAGCCACGTGGTCAAGACAGGAGGATGGGAGAAGGATGACAGGAGGGCACTGACCTGGAGTAACTCGCAGTGTGATTGGCTTCCCAGCAGTTGCTTAAATGACATCAGTCCTGTAAATTGGACTACACCTGAGCGTGGGTGCCATCCCCACCTAGCTATGGAGGCCCCTGATAACACTCTTCCTTTAAATGCTCGATGTTTTGAGTAGCCCCAGCTCCTCCGGAGCAGGCTGTTGAGGCAAGGTGTGTATGGATTGTGTCACTTACCTTTATTATTGGTGCCTGTGATCTTTCCAGGGCTCTTTGTGCTCTTTCCTCCTGCTGCTGCTTCTGTTGTCTCAGCTTTTCCTCTCTGAGCCTTTTGAAAGCAGTAAATAAAGGGTTAAATGCGGTGTGCAGCTACACTGAATATGCTTTTGACACATAGTGTCAGCATCTGACCCTACATCTTGCATCTAACAGCATAAGACCACCAGAGCACAGGGGTTTGGGTATAGCCGAGGCTGGAGTTTGTTGCTGTGAAGGCGGTAAGAGGGGAGCACTTGCTGCAGTTGACCCTGCTATTCCTGGAGAGATGAGTGGAAAAAGCACGTCAAGCATGGTGAGATGTCAGACAGTTGTTCTTGGTTAGAGACGTGTTCTGCACCACGTTCCGCAGGTGACTGATGCTCTACAGTTGAGCAGGATGCTCGCCACCTTTGTGGCTGAGCGATGCTTAATTGTGTCTTAAGTTCTCACCAGTGTGACCAGGTGTGTAGCGTACAGGTGTGAGTAGGAGGGTCCGTGGAGCTACGCTTTGCCTAAATGGGCATTGTGGAGGCTGATGCTGTTAAGTGGCTCTGGTTCCCAATGTGACCATAGTGGGCTCAAGCTGCAGAACACTGTGGTGGATAGGAAATGAATTCCTAACTTTGTGATCTTCAGGAAAATTTTAAATGCCCTTTGAAGGTTTGTTTTTAGTTGGTTGGTTTTGCTTTTTATTCGAGGGGTCAGGTTGCTTCCTAAATTCTCCGTTCCTAGAGTAGAATAAATGTGTGTCTGTCTTCTTTTGTAAGTTAAGAAGGCAAAACTCCTCATGGAACATCAGGAAGAAGCATCATACTCTTTCTGCTACACAGGTGAAGAAAGATACAGAGAAAAGAGAATAAGCGGGAGGGAGATGTCACTGTCTGGCTTTAGATCCTCACACTTCTATTTTTATTGTCTTTTTCTTTGCTGGATCTGATTCAGATGAGGATGGCCATGTGCAACCAGCTGTACAGTTACACCTTCGCTATTTGTGTGTAATGGAGACAAAAGGAATGTGTCTCCTCTTGGAACCTAAACTTATTGTGTTAATTCACTACTATTTAATTTAATAATACAAATTAAACTTAAGAGTTCTGTAGAAGAAACAATTGACAGCTGGCATTGCTGACAAATGCAAGTATGTACCTGACAAAATAACAGGACATGTCAGACGTTAAGTGTGTTAATTAACTACAGAGGAGTAATTTTCTATTTAATTGGTTTAAATATTGTTACGGCAAATTGTCATCTTATAATTGAATCTGGTTTTGTTTGTTTTGGTTTGGCTGGTGTTTTCTTAGCTTCTAGGTCTTTTCTAATGTAGCCGTGGGCTGCTGCTCACTGGTTGTGAGATGCAAGTACTACGAATGTGAAACCTTTACAGAAGTAAACTGGGATGGATTGGTTACACAGGCTTTCAGATTGCTCTTACAGTTTCCTGGGTCGATCTGAGAAATTTGGCTCTTTCAGTAGCTTTGCTTTTGGCTGTCAACATTTAAAAATAGACCCCATTTCCAGAAGAGAGTCTTGTCTTACCTTATCCTCCGCTCCTTTTCTTTGGCTTTCATAACCTGTTTCATCTTTGCTGGTGGGATTGTCTCCAGGGTGTCCAGCATATCGTAGACATGGATTTCTATCACCATCAGCATCTGCTCAGTTGACAGATTTGTCTCATTTTCTCCTGTGCACTCACGATAGACTTCCAGCACCTTCTTTTCCAGGCTTGCAAGCATTTTGTTCTAGAGATGAGACATGGCGAGAGGCACAGCTGAGTTCTGACCAACAGAACCACAGCATCCCTCCAAAGACAAAGGCAATTGTTACGCTTTAATCCCCTCCACAAAACTCAATTGCTTGTTTAGTGGTTTGCTTAGCACCAGTGTCGGGGGAGAGGGCTGTACTGAGCCATCCTTCTGTCAGTCTCTTCTTCCTAGCTTTGCTGTGGACAGACTGTGTCTAAGCCGTGCTGCAGGGAGCAAACACACTTGCCCCACTCTGCTGCCTTAGCAGTGCCCCAAACCTGCCCTTGCTACAGCTCCATTACTGGGAAACAGTGCTGATCCCTCCCCAGTGCAACCCACCGCCGGGTTTTTTGCCTGCGATGGATAGGGCTGATAGAGAGCAACCATTTAGACACATGCCGACCCCCGCCTTGTCTTGATCTCAGGATGTACCTGCTCATCTCCATATTGTCTAGCGTGAAAGATGCAAGCTTTGAGATCTGCTACTCTCTCTTCTTTCTCGGCGGTGGAGGATTTGAGGGCGGCTACCTGCTGTTTCAGCTCTGCTGCCTTCTTCTCCCTAGGCCAGAAGAGAAAGTAGGTATTTCGAAATACGTGACTCCTCTGCTGCTTCCCAGCCTGGGACCGTCCCGCCTGCGGCCGGCAGATGGAGGTAACACTCCGCGCGTTTCTGGGGAACTTGCACCCACAGCTCTGAGAGCAGAGGGGACTGGGGATTTTCCTGGAGTAAAAAGTTACTGTGCTGATGTGGAGGAGGGAGAAGTAGCATAGCTAAACATTCGGTATTTTTTAATAAGTCGATGCAGGGAGTAGGTTAAAAGCTTTCAGGAGGGAATAAGCTACACTTTAAATGGAAATACATGTGTTTACCTGCCATTGAAATACTATATTGCAATTACTCTGGGGTTCCCTGCTAGATTCCTCTAGGAAGGGTTTGCACTGAGTCAGAAGAGTGCTGGTCTGGATCACTCCAGGACGTGCCTTTTTTCTTCCTTTGATCTTTCTTTATGAGAACTACACGATACTTCTAGTTTACGTCCACTCCAAGATGCTAAATGTGCTGCAGCCAGTGCCTTGAGGACTAAGGAACTAGTCCCAAGCTCAAGTCCTATCTGCTAAATTTTGTAGATGGGACACTTTCCTAGGAGCTCACAAGGTGGTGAGTTGGATTTGCTGTAGCTGGGCTGTAAGGTGTGAGAAAGAGACTCTCTGTTGTGGCTGTGTGAACAGCACTACACCTGCTCTGCAGCACGGAGCCTGATGGCGAGGTGCCGGGGGAGGAAGAGGGGGTCACTTACGTTTGAAAGCTGGGGTGCAGGGACCCCTTCCCACCACCTGCAGGATCACACTTACATGCTTTCATGTGTAGTGTTGACCTCGTCCAAAATTCTGCTGATACCTGGGGAATTCTGGAAGGAGGACACAATCTCTTCCTCCATCTTTGTGAAAACGGACAGCAGTTGTTGAGGATCAGTAAAATACAACTCAGGCTCCTGGAGTGGAAAAATGCATGCAATGAGATTTTGTCCTCCTTTAGCTTTTTTTTGCATTGAACTACGTGGAGGCTGATCTGCACCAGCCCTCCCACGTAGAGAGGTCCATGACTTTTCACATACAAATGTCTTCCCCTTTCCCGCTATGTGCGTAGCTTTACGCTACCTCAGTAGCTCATCCCCAAACCAAGGTGCATTTCGGTGAATAAAAAGTGGTGGGGAAGACTTCCATTTCAGACATAAACCAACGACTTCACTAATTTAAAAAATCTCCCATTATATGATGTTATGTCTCACTGGGGATGGCACGCTTTGAGATGATGGTAGGTTTTTAGAAAGTGGAAGAGAAAAGTCAAACTAAGGTATTTGTGATACGTGCTGCTAAAACATGAACATTTATGAATGTATAAACATACATTTATAATTAGTGGCTACAGTAACTCCTCAACACCGTAATGAATGGTTAGAAGGTGAGAGAAATTAGTAACATCAATAAATGACGCAGGACAAACGGAAAGTGTAAATACTTCAACACGAGACTTCTGACCTCATCTTCGTCCGAGCAGGTTTCGCTTTCTGCATCCTCCAGTGAACTTCTGAAAAACCATTTTGTGTATCAAGCCCTTAGAGAAACGATAACTCAAAGGAGGTCTTGTTAGTGAATTATGAACACTGTTGTTATTTGCTGTTCCTGTTTGCTCCTGACCAGTCCCTTGCACATTTCACACGTTCAGTCCCCCGTGGCTATGGGCTGCTTGGGGGTCAGGGAGCCAGGGATCACACAAACATGTAGTGTGGGAGCTGTGTCTGGCCACAAGCGTGATGCCTTTGAGCTGCTCTGAGCTCTGCTGCCAGCAGCGTCACGACACGACGCATGAGCCTGAACTGAGGGCGTTGATCCAAACGCCATTAAACTCGAGGGGGAGGATTTGGCTCTTGGGCAATGAGAAGACAGAGGTACGAACCTTATTATAAAGGCTTAGGCAGCAGCACAGCAAGTGTAGTAAAAGCCTTGTGCTCCGTGTGGGACGTGGGGCTGCTCCTGAACAACATGCTGGAGCCAACATAGGAGTTTAGAGTTTTCAGCTGCCCTGGGAGATGGTTGTTGAGTGCTTCCTCCTCTGCACAGCCTACTGCCATTAACCAGCAGTGCGGCCTCTTTCTCCCCTGCTTAGCCGCAGGGACAAGCTGGCACAAGAGCTAGAAGAGCAAGGCAAGGGGGGCCTGGCTGATGCTGGCAGCAGAGCCTGCTCATCACCTTCTCTTGATGTTGATTTGTTCCAATAAGACCCAGCTCTCCACATGCTCACAGCAGAGGTGAGGAGTAGGTTTCCTCTGTACTGGCTCCCGGTCAGCTGAGGGCTCTCTGCACTACTTCAGCCTGTTGTTTGCATTGCCTCATACTTACGGTTTTCTTACTGCTGGAGACTCCACGGTACCGGGGCTGGCAGTGTCTGTCCTGGCTGTCAGGCCTCGTCCTGGAGACAAGGAGAGATGTGCCCTTAGAGCGTGGGGCCGTCCCAGTGAGGAGTGGGCAGCTCTACCCTGGCACTCACCCTGCTCTGCAGTGGTGGGAGGTGAGGGACTCTCTTCCTTAGCTTTGGATTCTGTTTTCAAACCCTTTTTCTTTGTGTGTTTTTTTCTATGTTCCTCCTGCCACTCTTTGGGAGATAGTTCATAGAGGAAGTCCCTGTACGTCTTGTACTCCTTCAGAGTGTTCCTGAGCCTGGTTATATCACTGGGTGGAGAGAAGCAGACAGTTAGTTAGCAGGGAGCAAAGCCCTGTTTGAACAGGTTCTTTCTAAGTCTTGACATTCAGCTTCACCCAGAGAAGGGACAAGGGGGCACATGTCTTTATGGACACACAGAAACAAATGGGAACCCGTCCTGCGTGCTGTCTGTGGTTCCTCATGTAGAAGTTGTCTTGTCACATCTCTGTGGCCAGACCCTTGCTATGGCACTGAGTTTGCTAATTTGGGAATTTTTACTTGAAAATGAATAAGAAATTATGCCAACTCAACTCATAATAGGAATTAGAATTATTTTTTTTTTCATCTTTCCCCAGGTCACCATTAAAATGCATTACTTAGTTCTGTTTGATTTTTAATCTGAGACTAAGCATTTAATTTTGGGTTTGGAACATTTATCCTTTTTTTTTAAATACCAAAAAAAAACTAGGTGAGAAACAAAGACAGCATCTGAACAGTTTTAGAAATCTTTTTTTCCCCGATTCCCTTTCTCCCCAAGCCCTGTAAGGGTATAGTGCTGTGGGGGCTGTTAAAGGCTAGGCAGGAATAGCATGCAAACGTCACCTTTCGAAGTACTCTATTTTGGAATTGATTGCCTGGATTTCCCTTGTTATTTTTCTTTCTTCTGCGGTTTCTTTTTCAGCACTGGGAAGAATGCACAAAATGATTTAGCAGTGAGTGGGTTGTGAGTCGAGGTGCATATAAAACAAAGAAAAAGATGGGAGGGGGTGCTAAAAATCTCTCTTAGATGTATCCCAGATGATGCTTGGCTCCTGAAGGCCCTGCTTGTCTTGGCAATGAGAGTGTGGGGTCCCGGCAACGCTCCCAGGTTGAGGCCTCCCTAGTCTGACTGCTGCTGAGCTCAATTGCTGCTCTGCCCTTGTGATACCTGTAATGGGCCAAAGTGCTCAGCCTGCTTCCCTTGGACTGTTCTGCTGTGAGGGGTTGGGTGGAAGCACCTTCCTCCCACCAGTGTGTTTTGAGAAGAATGGAAGTGGTGGGGTCAACAGCAGGTTCCCTGCTGCAGCCAAATCAAGGGCTTCTGCAATGAGGGGATTCCCCAGCTGTTGTTCCCCTTCCTCTTGGCTTTCACTGAATGTGTGGGGAGAAAGTGCCACCAGGACTGTGAGTCTAGGCAAGCTCAGACATAGAGTATTTGCTAGCCAAAACCTGGCAGGGAGGTCAAGCAAAAGACCTCCTCCACGTCCAGAGCACACCCCTGGTTCCCTCAGCTTCCATTACCTTTCCAGAGCTTGAACAGAGATTTTCAGGTTCTCCTTCAGGAACTCATCGAACATGGCAGCATCCTTCTCCAGGCTGTGTTTAGCCTTTTCCAGGTTTCTTTCCTCGTTCTTCACTATGTTCTCCAGCGTTTGCATCTTATCTTGCTGTACTGCCATGGCATACTGAAACCAACCCAAAAGGCAACACAGTCGCACCAGCTGGTTGATTTTAAAGTTGTGTTGGCTTAGCTTTGTTCTCGGTTACCTTACTACTTTAGAATTGTGGGTGGAGAGGGTCAGGATTTCAAGCCAAGGTATGTGTACCTGTGCAAACTAGGTACGTAGAAGCCAGAAGATATTTCAGAAGTAATACAGCAAATAAGCAGTGAAATCAAACACAGAATCCAGAAGTCCTGGCACTGCATTAACTTCTGGCTGACAAAGATTGATTCAGATGCGTTATAGCACAGTAACAGAGGTGAATAATGACGATACTCCAGCATGGCTCCTGGTTTTGAGCTCAGAATAGCTCCCGGCTATAATTTATGTATAGGACAGCAGGAGCCAAAAGGTCAGTATATCTATGCATGTCACAAATGAAACAGTTGTGTGGCTGCTACTGGGTGGCGCGAGTGACTTACGTTCTTTTCTTTCCTGTCTGGGCTACAGACTGTGAGGGACTCTAGCACAGGACTCAGACAGTCAGTTCATGAGGTCTGATGTGGCTTCTTAGCTCTAGGCAATGGATCTCGGTGGGGGGAAAACCAAAACAAGACAATGCCAGGAAGAATAATTAAATGAACAGAAAATAAAATTCTTAAAGCCAAGTACCTCAAGTCGAAATATCTCTCTTAGGCCATTTACATACTCCTGGAAGGTTTCCTTTTTTAATGGGTGATCTGAAATTAGGACAGAAAGTTGATCAGACTAGAGGGGAAAATATGGCCAAGGCAAACCACAGTGAATATGTAGGCTGCGTGGCATGGTTGGTGCTGGAGTCAGCAATACTGATTATTTTATTATACTTTTGACCTTGTTTAGGTTTGGTTTCATATGGGCTTTCATGGGGTGAAACCAGGTAGAATGGAGTGGAGAATGAGGTCCTTACAAAGGTCAGTGTCCTCTAGGCATTAATTGCAAAGCTACTCCTAATGTCAGAGGCAGAAAATTTAGACCCACATCCACTAAAATCCAACTTAGTAGAAGGTCTCCATGACACAAGGTTCTGCAAACTAGCAGCTGACACCCAGATGATTCTGAGAGCACCCAGCTACTGTGAAGGCCGCAGGGGATGGTGGAACCCAGGCTCCGCCGTGGGGGTGACATGTTCTGTATGTAAATGCATGAGATGGAGAAGGCCCAGCCACACGGAGGCTGGCGAGACACATCATATAACTATCGTGTCTGCAACCCCGAAGTCAGCTAGAGCTAACTGCTACTCCCATCGCCTCTTCGATTTCTGCTTTAGGCTGTTACCAGCTGAGCAGCACCACTACGAAGGCAGTAACTGTCCCCTACCTTTTTTAATGCCTGCCTCCCGTAAAAGACTCTCCTGATAAGTTTTCAGTCTCTCTTCATTTGTTGCCTGTTTTCTGGCCTCCTCTTCCTCCTCCTCTTGCAGAGCTTTCCTGAGCCCTTTCTGCTTTGCTTTTATTTTAGTGGAATAAGTCATTTTCTCATGGATTTTCATGGTTTTCATCCTTTCACGTTCCTACGAGAAGCCAGTTCACATGGACAGTTTGATCATGTGCTTTGTTCGCTGTGGTTTTTAAAGACATAAGTAGTTATTCACAGTCTAGAAATTTGCTTGCTACTGATATCCTGCTGATGCATGTTTGCCTGGTTTATCTGACTAATCCCAATGATATTCTCTCTTGAGGCAACTGAAACACTTAATTTCTTAGCATCTGTTCTCATTAGTTTGTTGATTTGTATGCTGCATCCAGTCACCAGCCGTACCAGTGTGTACCTACCCAGTGTCCTCATTTCTCCTTCCTGGATTATTCCTGGGAGAGAATGGAAATTTTCAGAGATTCGTCTTTCAAGTCCCCTATTAAAAGGAAACAACTGGATGGCCCACACTCAATACTGACTCCGTCCAACCTTCATAAAGGCATATAAACCTTCCAGTTTAGGTTGAGAGGATCTATTCAAACCCATTCCAGAGCTTTCTGGAGGGTAAAAGGTTGTTCATACTCAGTGCTTTCACATGGGCTGCAGTGTAATTTATTGCAGTCTGGGTTAAACTGAGGACATCACTCAGCAGACATCCTTAGTCCACTTCTTCCTAAGCCCTTCCTCATACTTATACAGTTACCTTTAACCCAAGAGAAAACCAGACTGTATCAGTCATCAATTTGCAGTGAGGAAGCTTGCTTAAGTTTGTCTGAAACCCTCCCTTTGTGATTTAGAAACAGCCAAGACCTCTTGCTTCCCCACTACTGCCTGACTTCCTCAACCATGGGCAATAGTCAGACCTCTTGGAGATGTGACAATCTCTCCATGACTTCCCACCCCCTTTGGATTGCATGCCCTAAGGAAAGTCCACTGCAGAAATAAGAAAAAGACATTCCTGAGACCCAGCTTTCTGGTCTGGTGTTGGTTGCTTGCCTGCACTAGTGAACTGCTTGTATATCCATTGGCTTAAAGCATGTGTACGTACCGCCTTAGCCTTTTTTCTTTCCTTGTCCCTCAGTGAGAAAATATCGATATCTGGAAGAACTGTAAACGGATTCTTCATTGGGTTTTCTTCATCTTCTTCTGGGCTTTCTGAAAAAAGAAAATCAAACCCAAATCTAAATAGGTGACAATGTAGAAGACTTAAGGCAGAGTATCAGGATTCAGTGCAAAGGGACTCTGATTTCCACCTGAAGGGTGGGCAGCTGTGCACACAGCTGCAGATGTCTACCAATCCTGAATGGAGTATGGGGAGCTGGAAAGGGCTTGCAAGAAGTCTATGATATAACTGTATTGTTTATGCCACTTGACCGTATCTGCTGATCAGCTCAGGATTTCATCCAGGGATTTTTGTAAGTCTGGAACTATTTTACCCATCTCATTCAATCGTGGGCAGAATAGTCTGAATACAGGCCTCTCCTTTGACCTAACAAGGAAAAGCTGCTAGAGCATCATGACCTTACCTGACACCACAAGCAGGGTTTCCATTCTGAGTTTGGAAGAAAGACTGTGGAATGTTGACTCTGTATGTGCAGATGACATGCTTGACCCTGGCCCAAGAGAAATCATAAACAAATCAATCACCTGGGTCCTGCAAGTAACTGATGCAGTAGCTTTTGCAGCAGTGATGGGCCTAGGGGATTTCTGGGTCTTAACCACTGAGCCTTTTGTGTCTGTAGGAATTAACAAATGGCTTCAGTAAACTGGAAAATATCTGTCTTCCGACCCCCAAAAAGAGATATTCATCCCTGGCTTATATGGAAGCTGCGTAAAACACAGTCCTCCTTATACACAGGCTGATGGGAAAGTGAAGACAAAACAGTTTGAAGACAGGCAACTCGAGTCCCTTGCCTCCTGTTCCACCCACATCTTCAGTTCGGATCCACACCCATAGTTTTCCATCCTCCTATCACTGGTTCACAAGCGGCATTTTTATTCCCTAAAGCTCTTACCAGTAATTGGCGGTAAAGTAAAGGCCGAACGATTGTTGGACAGCCCAGACATGCTGCAGGCAACTCCGAAGTGTTCCATTTTCGGCTGGCAAACTGGTGAAGGTTAGTTTTTGCTTCTCTGAATCCAGTTGCTTTTTATAAGTTTTGCTGTGGGTCCTAGGGGAAAAGGCATAATTGTAGTGATCTCACTTACAAAGAACAGATAGACCATTGTTAAAGTTATCCCATAATCAACAAAGGCAGCAAGCTGGGCCCAGCGAGGTAGTCATCAATTGATGCAGTTCTGCTGCTGGGACCAGTCTTCATCTGCACTGGTCTAAGGCGCAGCAGAAAATATCCTCTTCCGCTTGCACTAGTTTAAAGGCTATTTTAGAGCACCATTTTTAACTCTGAACAGCCTCCAGTTTTTACGTATTTTGAGCTAAGCTCATCTGGCCTAATTTCCATGTACATCCTTGGTGCTTTGTATTTCCTATTGGCTGTGTTTCTGCAGCTGCTCAGTTAGTGCCTTATTCTTTGGAGGCGTCAAACTTGCGCTGTTGATGAGACACAGAGGCTGTTGTAAAATTTAGGCTGTTTGAATGTATCCCAAATGTCTTCTCTCTCCTTTTTAGATTGTGAAGTACCTTTTCCAAAGAGCCTTCTTGACTTGTTGCTTAGATTTTCACGTCTCTCTGAACTTTGCGTAACTTAATGGGATGTTTTTCTCATCTATGTCCTGGAACAACATAGCCCTTGCAATGGTGTGAGTTTTGGAGAAAACCCCATCAGGGCAGGGGTAGGAAGGCCATCAAATGCCAGCAGTGTTCAGCTGAATACACTTTGTGAAATATGCAGAGCAGTTGCAGCAAACACCTGAGTGTTCAGCCCTCTTAGTGCACAACTTGATTTCTGCCGTGTAAAACCCTTCTCATAAAAATCTTCTCGTTCAGGTGCTTAATTTAAATTCCTGCTACAGGGAATGGGCCTGAAAAGCAGGGCTAGGCAGAGGATACTGGCATATCTCTGAGATAAAAAGTGCTTTAGAATATAATTTTAGCAAAGTATAGGAATCTGTTTCTAAGACTAACTTATAAATATTCCTTTTATAAAGATATTTTTGTTTCAGGTTGTTGGTTTTTTTAACAGATTGTTTGCACATCGCTTTGGAAATAACACCAAAAGCTACAGAAGCCCTACTTGTGCTAATTATAATTATTAAGCTCAATAATGCAAATTAAAAATTGCTTTGTTGCTGGAATCATTTGGCATATATTTCGCTGTCTCTGACATTTTTATGTTGCAGTAGCTACATACCAATTGCCAGTAGTATGTGAATCAACATATAGGGCATTCATGGTTTTAATTTACCAGGACATTTATTCAGTGCTTTTCCCCAGCACCCATTTGCTGTGTGTTAAAAAAAAAAAAAAAGCCAACGTAAACATGCAGACAGCTCAAAAAAAATCATAGAATCATAGAATGTTCAGTGTTGGAAGGGACCTCTAGAGATCATCTAGTCCAACCCCTCTGCCAGAGCAGGATGCCCTAAAGCAGGTCACACAGGAACACATCCAGGCAGGTTTTGAAAGTCTCCAGAGAAGGAAACTCCACAACCTCTCTGGGCAGCCTGTGCCAGGACTCTGTCACCTGCACAGGAAAGAAATTTCTCCTCATGTTGAGGTGGAACTTCCTATGTTCTAACTTAAACCCGTTATTCCTTGTTCTATTGCTGGGCACCACTGAGAAGAGATTGTCTCCTTCCTCTTCACACCCACCCCTCAGACATTTCTCTACGTTAATAAATCCCCTCTCAGCCGTCTCGTTGCAAGGCTGAACAGCCCCAGGTCTCTCAGTCTCTCTTCACAGCAGAGATGTTCAGTCCCTTGATCACCCTCGTAGCTCTCCCTTGGACTCTCTGCAGTAGGTCCCTGTCTCTCTGGAACTGGGGAGCCCCAAACTGGACACAGCATTCCAGGTGTGGTCTCACCAGGGCAGGGCAGAGCGGGAGAACCTCCCTAGCCCCGCTAAAGCTCCCTACCACCGCAGAATCTACCCGCCGTGCGCCCCCAGCCCGCGGGGAGTGTCGGCCCGGTACACTCGGAGGAGTTAAATGAAGCCATCGCTTGCAGAGAAGGCTCGTCCTGCTCGCTGGGACTCCGCTCCAGGTTCTAAGCTCAGAGCAAACGGGAGCGGGGCAGCC